ACAGAGGGGTGGAGAGCAGCACCAGTGATGATTGCTGTCATTATAATCTAGTACTAGAGAAAATGAGGCTAATGCAAGTGTCAATCTGCTAAATAAGTCCACTGGGCTCAATAGCGCAGCTGGAGCTCTGGAGCAGAACCCGCACACACCGCTCGCTAATATCCAGTCTTGACCTTTCGTAAAATCAAACCGCTTGCATGCGTACAGTAAACGCAGCAGCAGGATCTAACTGGTTATGTCAAGTTTCATTACACTGTCACAGCACATTATAGCGTAGTAGATGATATACATATATATATATCTGGGTTTTAACCACTATAGACATTGAGGGCAGTTTTGTTATTGCTAGCTAAAACAGAAATTAAAATATAGTACTGCTCAACAAAATATTATATGATGATAATAAATATTAAACAGAAACTAATAAAAATGACACAGAAAATCACAATAACAGAATTACAATTGAAAACTGAAAATATAAAAAACTAACACAAAATATGAACAAGTACTATAATAGTATAGAAATAGTCAAAATAGTTCATTCTGTTACACTGACAAATATTATATATGTATAATACTAATAACAGTTGTTTTTTTATATTTTGTATATAGTTAAGTAGATTTTGACACTGTTTATTTGGTTGTATATTAAAATCTTAAAGTCTAATTACCTTCCAAATCACCCTGTTTTACTAAGAAACAATTAATAATAATAATTATAATATAATTTATTATTTTTTAGATTTTTTTAAAGATTTTTATTATTAAATATGCATATATCTTAATATATTATATTAAATAAATGAATGGTAAAATAAATAGATATATATTTATACAATATATATATATATATATATATATATATGAACAAACCATTAAAATCTGTCAATATAAATGTAACTTATGTGCTGAACCTCATAAAAGTTATATTATATTATATATATATATATACTGTATATATATATTCTCTTTCTACTTAAAAAAACTTTGTTTAATTCAATTTGTTACCGTTTAATTCTAATTATTGTGAAATTTACTAGTGACCAGTTTCTGAGTGAAAATTGTTTCCAAGTAAATCCTACACTAATTTCTTTGTGGGTGGATTTTTCCACAGTCCATTCATTATAGGATTGTCTTCTTTGTGAAGGATAAATGTGAAACCCAAAAGAAGGTTTCTTAGAAGGCAGCACGGTTAAGCTCCATACTTTTAGAACAACCAAAAAAACGGTGCTGAAATTGGCTTTAAAATGGCATGAAATGTGACCTGGACATGTTCTTGACATGACACTATTCACCCAGAGTGTACACTTACTTCCTGTCAGCTGTGTGCACTTCCTGTGCACGGTCTGTTGGACACAGTCCCCCGGTGAAGCATGGCGAGCTCTGGTGACTTCAGTCTTCTCTTCTGCTTAAATGACTGCAGCCTGTGCATATTATTTGTGTCCTTTGCCTTTCCTCTGCAAATGTAACTTTTATGAGGTTGTCAGGTCTTGTTGCTGAAGCAGAACAGACTGTTTGATGTCGAAGAGAACAAAGTGAAGGTCTGGCTCAGATCTCACCAAATACACAGGGGCGCTTTATCATAAACATGAGAAGAAGCAGAGCGTAGAGTCGCTCCAGGTGTGTTTACTGAGAGCCTGAGGATGATGAAGATTCGCTCCAGAAAACAACAGCAACCGTCAGGCCATTATACCCCACTGTTAGGAAGTCCCTCGGCCTGTTTTGGGAAATAATCATTATGTTTTCAGATTTTCATTTGGCATCACATCTTTAGTAGTAATGATATCAGTGATAACAAGTATTATTGTTTTGCTTATATTTTGTATATATTTACATTTTGACTATTTATTGCGTCGTAAGTTAAAGTCCGTTTAAATTGTGTTAAAAGCCTGTTTTTGAGTAAACTGGCACTTGACAAAAAGTATTTATTAATTTACTATTTTACTGTTTTATTTAACTACATTTAAAACATTAATTTAATAGATAGTTTTATTTTTATATTTAAAAAATATATTTATTTATGTTTTAACTATATTTTAAAACATCATTTGTACAATGTTATTATATTTTTAAATGTATTTTTAATTTATTTATTATTTGATTTAACTACTTTTAAATGTAAACAAAATGTATTCATTTGTGGTATTTAACTCCATTGTAAAACAAATTAAATAGACAGTTTTAATTGTCTATTTTAAAACATCATTTGTATAATGTTATTATATTTTTAAATGTATTTTTAATTTATTTATTATTTGATTTAACTACTTTTAAATGTAAACAAAATGTATTCATTTGTGGTATTTAACTCCATTGTAAAACAAATTAAATAGACAGTTTTAATTGTCAAATAAAAAATATAATATTTTATTTAACTGTATTTTAAAACATGAGCTAAACAGACCGTTTTAAATGTCAATTTTTTTTTTATGTAAAAAATATTAATTTATTTTACTACATTTTAAAATGTGAATTAAATAGAAATGTTTAAATGGCAAAT